CTTTACGTCTTCTGATCACCTTTATATATCTGAGGTCTTACCTATACGACCTTTGAGAAGTTTACTATAGCTCCTCCTTCACCTTCCGCCACAGAAGTCTTACCCATTTCAACCGTTGGGGAGTCTAGTGTGGCTCCTCCTAGATCCCCAGCCACAGGAACACCACTCTCGACTTATCATCGTCGTTCGCGCCCAGCATCAGGCCCAGCTAATTCACGTCCTGCACCTGACCCTGCTCCTACTGCGGGCTTGTCTCTTCCTAGTACACCGATTGCACTTCGGAAAGGTATACGGACCACACTTAATCCTAATCCTCATTACGTCGGTTTAAGTTATCATCGTCTGTCATCACCCTATTATGTTTTTATATCTTCTTTGTCCTCTGTTTCCATCTCTAAGTCTACATGTGAAGCATTGTCCCATCCAGGATGGCGACAGCCTACGATTGACGAGATGTCTGCTTTACATACGAGTGGTACTTGGGAGCTCGTTCCTCTTCCTTCAGGTAAATCTACTGTTGGTTGTCGTTGGGTGTATGCAGTCAAGGTTGGTCCGGATGGCAAGGTTGATCGTCTTAAGGCCCGTCTTGTTGCCAAGGGATATACGCAGATATTTGGGCTCGATTACAGTGATACCTTCTCTCCCGTGGCTAAGAAGCATTGGTCTGCCTTTTTCTATCCATGGCTGTTGTTCGCTATTGGCCTCTCTATTAGCTGGACATTAAGAATGCATTTTTACACGGTGACCTTGAGGATGAAGTTTATATGGAGCAACCACCTGGGTTGTTGCTCTGGGGGAGTCTCGTGGCCTTGTATGTCGCTTGCGCCGGTCACTTTATGGTCTAAAGCAGTCTCCTCGAGCCTGGTTTGGTAAGTTCAGTACAGTTATCTAGGAGTTTGGCATGACTCGGAGTGAAGCTGATCACTCTATGTTTTATCGGCATTCTGCCTCGAGTCTCTGTATTTATCCGGTGGTCTATGTTGACGATATTGTTATTACCGGCAATGATCAGGATGATATTAGTAAATTGAAGCAACATCTCTTTCAACACTTTCAGACTAATGATCTGGGCAAACTAAAGTATTTTCTGGGTGTTGAGGTCGCTCAGTCTCGCTCAGGTATTGTGATATCACAACGGAAGTATACCTTAGACATTCTTGAGGAGACAGGAATGATAGGTTGTAGACCGATTGACACTCCGATGGATCCGAATTCTAAACTTCTGCCAGGACAGGGGGAGGCGCTTAGCGATCCTGCAAGATATAGGCGGCTGGTTGGTAAATTAAATTATCTTACAGTGACTAGACCTGACATTTCCTTTCCTGTAAGCGTTGTAAGTCAGTTTATGGATTCTCCCTGTGATAGTCATTGGGATGCAGTTGTCCACATTCTTCGGTATATAAAATCGGCTCCAGGCAAAGGGTTATTGTTTGAGGATCGAGGCCATGAGCAGATCGTTCGATACTCAGATGCTAATTGGGCAGGATCACCTTCTGACAGACGTTCTACGTCTAGATATTGTGTTTTAGCAGGAGGCAATTTGGTGTCTTGGAAGAGCAAGAAACAAAATGTAGTTGCTTGATCTAGTGCAGAAGTAGAATATCGAGCAATGGCTATGGCAACATGTGAGCTAATTTGGATCAAACAATTGCTTAAGGAGTTGAAATTTGGTGAATTAGCCAGATGGAACTTGTGTGCGATAATCAAGCCGCCCTTCATATTGCATCAAGTCAGGTGCTCTATGAGAGGACTAAACACATTGAGATTGATTGTCACTTCGTCAGAGAAAAGATACTCTTAGGAGATATTGCTACAAAATTTGTGAAGTTGAATGATCGGCTTGCTGATATTTTCACCAAGTCCCTCACTGGTCTCGTATTAGTTATATATGTAACAAGCTCGGTACATATGATTTATATGCACCAGCTTGAGGGGGAGGGGAGTGTTAGTTTGGTAGTTAAATAGTAGTAAATAACCCTAATCCCATATGTATTAGGAGTAGGACATGTATATTATATATATAGGGGTCATTGTATCATTGTCATATATGTGAATAATATATTTTACCGTGCATTCTCACAGTTCCTGTTTACCACTTCTTTTTATCAGTAAAAGGTAAATTTTATGAATAAAGTTAGTGCCGATACCAAGCTAAAGTATAAAATATTGCTTAGAAGGAATCCTTCCAAGATCCAAAGAAGTCCAACATTACAGTAGTATCAGTAGCAAAATCAGCATTACACAGTATTTTTGTACTCTGGATACATCTAGTTTTCAACAGTGAAGAATTCTCTTCCTTCCCCTCAAAACATCTACGGTTTCTCTCAAGCCAAATGCTCTATGCAAAGCGGAATGGCCTTCCAGTTCTTCTTTGTCTCCTTCCTCATTTTCTGGCTTTGAGAACTGCATAGGGCTTGCGTTACATTTGTTGGCATAACCCATTGGACTCCATAAAGGTTGAGAAACATGCACCAAACTTGGTGCCCAAAGATCATGCCACCATCTATCGAAAAGGTAAAAAGGAGATGTTAGGACATGCAATCTGCCTTGATTCTGTTGCAGTTGGGTCTATCTAGGACCTCTAAATGAAATGTTGACGCACAATATCCCATTGTAGTTAGTAAACAACAGATATGGCTTTCAAGGATTCAACATTTTAGTTTTATGTTGAATTTCTCCGAGTATTGGACTCGGCTATGCTGTAACATTTTGCATGTTGTGGCATCTGTAACGGAGATCATGGTGACTAGTTGACTACAGTGATAATAGCGATAAAAAATGTGGAGTGATTTTTAGTTTCCATTTGTGAAGCTAAGTACAGCAATTTTCAGTGACAAGTTGACATCCCAATGGCTCCCCTTCAGATACTGTCTCTAGAGCATATGAATCCATGCAATGATTAATGCATCAGTTCTGGTTATGTTTCAAGAATTCTTGAACGCTAACATGGTGATTAACTTTAAGAATGAATTCAGATTAGATACTTCCCAAAAATAATACTCATAATAATGAATTCAGGTCAGAAGTATAAGTGTTTGTCAAAAGCTGTTCCACAGTTTCTTTTGCCCCATTATTCATGTAGGGCTTTGTGCTGTGCTGCTGAAAGTTCCTTTTTGGGTGGAGATCTTTGAATTCTTAACTTTTGGCACCATAATTGGTTAGATCAAGGCAGCATTTATGGAAAATATACCCGGCGAAGCAACTATATTCATATTGTACTTACCGATTAAGAACGTTTTTCATTGGAATGGCATAGTAAGAGTGTTCCCTCTCATGCCATATTGTTTGAGCTACTTGAAATATGTGGGCTTACAGGGTAACCAGTTTTATTGTCCTGAAGGTTACATAGCTTACACTTGAAGATGTTGTGCAGAAAATATTGACTTCTCATTAGTTCAGTGATGTGGGGCTTGTTTAATGTACTGACATATTGTTGATCTCTTGACATAGGATCCACCCATAATTAGCTTGAAAGCAAAAGGTGGCAAATTCTTTATCTAAAGGGAACAAAAGTAACACATGGCTTTCACCAAAAAAGATGCAATTTACTGACATAGTGTGTATAATTGATCATTCTACTTTAAATAAAGTATATGCAAATTTGGTTTTCATGTTCAACATACTTGAATAACTATTTCATGTATATTTTGTGACTGATACAGTTGGAATTAAATATAACCCCTCCCCACCCCACCCCACCCCACATGTATATCAGCTCTCACATGCCTGTACTGTCTGCGTAGTGCTTACAAGCAAATATCATTGGCCTCAATGAAGCATCATGTACTATGGTTCATCCTTCACTATGCAACATGAAGTGAAAAATGGTCAGGGTTAGGGGTGACAAAATGGTTCAAAGAAACAGTTAACCACCCATATTATCCACTAAAAAATGGGTTGGATAATAAACTTTTTAAAAACGGGTCAAATATGGATAAGAACCATATTATCCATTTAGAAAATGGATAACCAATGAGTAACTAATGGATAACCAATGGGTCTAACTTTTACATTTGTAAAGCCTCAAATTGGGGGTTTCTCAAGTTAGGGAGACTAAAAATTCTCCCAAAAGTGATCATATACAAGAAGTCATGGATAATATGGGCAACCCATATTATCCGCCGGTTAACCCGTTTTTTATCCGTATTAAATATGGGTCGGGTCGGATAATTGATCCGTTTTTTCATTACCCGTTTTTGGCCCGAACCATATCCGACCCGACCCGACCCGCCCGTTTGCCACTCCTAGTCAGGGTCATCCATTTGGTCTCCTTTTTCTTTTATTTATAATAGTGGTGTCGGGACCAGCTTTTATTGGGCATGTGCTATTTTCACCAGCACAGGTACTACATAACTTTGGCCACCAAATGGGAAGAACCACCTACATTTTTTGTTCTATGATGAAATTTAAACACTGACCGGACATGATTTTCACCAACTTCATTGACCGTCATGCCATATCGTTGTGTGTATTCCATTTGGCCTCTTTTCCACTGTCACCTCTTCAGCAATATAATTGCAATGCTGAAGATCCTAGGTTGAAACTAGCTGAAATTATGATGTCATAGCTCAATCATGCATATGCTATAGTAGGAATTTTAGTAAAAATATTGTGACGTTCACGGTCCCACATCCACTATTTTGAAGTTGGGATAGAGTGTGAGGTACATGCACCCTCTACAATACAAATTGAACTGCGACTTGTGTGATGTTTCTGAATCTTGAGGTCGATTTGCTTATGTGAATCATCTTCATATGACGGTGTATTACTCCAAATACGTTCAACGCCATCAATATATGTATTTGTTTTGATATTTTATATATATCCTGTTATATATATCCTTGAAAGGAAAAAATTACTCCCATACCTGGGTTTAGCAAACTACATTAGTTGACTATACTTGGTGATAATCAAAATGTGAATTATTCATACGGATTAAGTGATAATAATTTATGTGAAGACATTTTGATGGGGTAGTAAGTTTTGACTTTATTTTGTAGCTTAAAGTTTGTGCTTATGCATGAGAGAGCTGTTTATGGAGAGCTATATGCAAGATACAAACAGAGGACCAAGTCTCTTTGCTAAAGGTGGATTCTTTTTGCTTTTACCTACTTTAGAAGTAGTAATTACTACTTCTCTTCTGCTTATGCCAAACCTTGCATATGATATTGTTGAAAGCAGTATGGCATTCAGAACCTCTATATTATGGATTCGCCGTAGAGGTTTGAGATTACTCAATGGACATGAGGATAATCTCAAACCTCAAAATAATACGTCTACATTTAGTTGCTCATATGTCACTTGATGAATACTCTTCTCTTGGTTAAAGAAAAAAAAACAAAGCAGAGTAGTTATAAAGTTTTTTCCATGATAAGGGACAGCTTTTACTTGTGGCCAACTATATTGGTGCGGACTAGCATCCATTTTAAATCCAATGTGCGAGACGTCGAAATTGGCTCATTAATTAGGGCAAACGTTTGCCACTAGCATGGACCACATTGGCACTATTTGAGGTGAATGTAGCCTTTTGGTTCCGTTCATCTGAAACTAAAAATTTTGACATGGAATATAGATAGATATCCTATAAAAATCACACAAATATTAGGACCTAAATTCATATTTTAATAATACAACAAGTTAAATGTAAAATTGAACTCATTAAGTTTAAATTCTGAATTCAATCGCCTATAACTATTTCTATCTCGCCGACTAACAGGAGGGATAGTAGAAAATTTATATTCAAATGAGACTAGAAATTTAAGGAAAAAACATCAATCATTTGAAAAATTAGGGAATGAATTATTGAGAGAAAAATTGCAGACCAAACTTGGATACTTGGTAGAAAGGTCACAATCTGATTGTTGTGACAAAAGTAAAGGGTTCTAATCGAGGGATTTTAAAGAGGAAAATTATGAGTCTTTTCATGATATATCTTTAATGAGATGTCTTTATATGCGATGATTTTTTTTTCATAAATGGTACTCCGTTAAAGGAAAAAGAAAAACAATAACAAAAATTGGACCCTACGATACTATTCACTTTGGAACTGTTTAGTTTGAATTATTTTATTTGATTTGAACTGTTTCACTCATTACGACTTTAGTTATTGTTACATGAATATTTATTTTTAGCTGCTAATAACAAATGCTTCTTCAAAACAATCTATAAAAACGGTATTTTGATAATAAAAACCAAACAAGTAAGATACATTTCGTGTTTGTACCTTTTGGATTATGCATTTGGTTTAGTAGAGAAATCATACATGATTTATCTTGCCAACGAACATAATTTATTTTTTTAACTCTTGCTAATTGATTGGATACCTAACTTTTTTCTTAAAGCAAGTACTAAATACGCATAGACAAAGACATTCCGAGTTTTATTTAGATTATTGAACTCAAATTTGAGAACAACAAGTTGTTAGGACATCCTAATCCATGTTTTAAAAAGTTTGAGAACATTTGTTTGAAATATTAATTTTTTGAACTTTTCTATGAAAAAGTAGAAGGTGTGACTTTAAAGGATTGTTTCTTGTCTTTGATCCGACATGATAGCTCCCTGCACGTAGGAATCAAATTAGGATTATCATGCATAACAATTATTACACCAACTATTTACAACAAGCCATGTTAATTTACTGTAGTTAAGTAATTTAATGAGATAGAGAATGCATATTAATTAAAATATGATCAAATTAATTGACATAGATATATATATTCATTAGTTTGGTACTCCCTCCGGTCCAAAATAAGTGATTTTTTGGCCTTTTTTTTGTGGTCCAAAATAAGTAATTTTTTCAGATTTCAAGAATGAATTAATTATTTTTTTCCTACATTGTCCTTGAAGTAAATGGTGTTGGAATATGTGTTAGGAGTGTTTATGTGAGATAGTAAAGGTTAATATGGTCAATTCCATTGCTAATTAATGCTAAAAGGTGGATTTCTTAATTTGCGTGAAAACATCCAAAAAATCACTTATTTTGGACGGAAGGGAGTATAAAACATCGGGCATGAGTAAATTTTTACCATAGTGAAATTCCATCCTTGATTCTTATCAACGCAGCAAGAGTTGGAAAATTGATAGTTGAACACATAAAATACAACAATTGAACATTGTCAAGTTTGACGTTTCTTCTTAAATTGTTAGAATCCCACAATGTCGATGAAGTGTATATTCTCCTGATATAGTCTTAGTTAAGTCGCTGAAAATCAGAAAACTATCACTTGTAGACATTTGATTTATTCACCTGTAGACATTTGATTTAAAAAAGAAAAGAAAAGATCAAAGGAGAAAGGAAAATGTCTACTCATTTTCTTGTATATTTAAAGTATTGTTTTCAATTTTTCTTATTTATTGCCATTCTCTATGCCATAGGGATAATAAATAGGGAAATTGACCATAAGAGACTAATAAAATTCCCAACTATTTTAGTAATTAAGTTACAAACTATGCCAACTTTAGGCTTCTTTTTTTTTTTTTTTTTTTTGTATATTAACTCTTGCATTTTCTTATTGAATTTGCTTTCTTTGGTGTTGGACCCAAAATTATTTGTACCAACAGTTTCCAGCAATAGGAAAGGGTCATGAACGTTAACAACCAGCTAATTTGGTGTAATATCAATGTTACAGTTGTGTACAACCAGCAGAGAGGAAACTCATCATCAAACATCATCCCAAGTAGAAAATCGAACTTTTATTCATAGGGCTCGTGTGGTTGACATAATTGTTAATTATGATGAGATTATATATAATATTTGGATTGTTTATTCCATGATTAATAATAAAGAGATTGTTATCCAGTGATTGATTATGAGAACATTATTATGCATAAAAAAGGAGTATTTTTTGTCTTTAAATTTTAATCTCTGCATTGGTAATCAAGCCTCGCATTAGTTTATAGGATAATTAATTTTTTCATGAAGCCAACCAAACGTTGTATTATCTTATATGTTGCAATTAATTAATCGAAGTCATAAATCAAAGACCCTAAATAGTACAATTTTTTTACATTATTAGTATATTTTAATCTATTGTATTAGTAGTCCATCTTATTTTTTAGGTTGCTAATTCCCTTTTTTTATGAACAATTACATATAATTATCTTTTAGATAATATAATAGTGAAATTTTTCTGTAATATATAATAAAAATTAAACTAAAAGAAAAAACAAACAAACAAGCAAAAGAGAATATAACATTCAAAATGACAATGTAGTATTCTTCTATTACTACAAGTAGTAGGTTTATTACAACCGCCCTCATTCTAAATTCCTAATTATTTTCTTGACTGCTTTTTCAGTACTCCAGACTTTACCAAAAACCCAACACCTACTCATTAACACCCATGCAACAACAACGGAAACCTTACCCCAATCTTGCGGAGGTAGAAAATTATTTATGATAGATACCCGGCTCATTAACACCCATGCAAAACTTACAATTACAGTAATTAACCTTTGGACCCAATCCCAAAACCCTGCAAACAAACTTGCAGTGCTCTAAACTTTTTGAATATTACTCCCATGATATAGCTGTCTTAAACTTGTTTGGAATTAATTATTACATGATGGAGCAGGCATTAGGGTTGTCATCACTAAACATGTTGATATAGGCAGGGTCGTCATATCTTGCAACTGTTGCAGTAGTTGAGTTGTTGTGATCAAGTCTTCTGACATAACCAGGTGGTGCTTTCTTGTCATAAGCTGCTGCAGCATAGGGCTGAGACACCAAATTGTAAGGGACATAAGGCCATATCTCTGCTTTCTTCCCTGTTGACTTTGCCTTCTTTAACACCTTGTTTGCTTCCACATATCCTGTTACTGTCACCTTCTGTTGTTTCCTGTTTATCTCCACAGACTTCACTCCTGCAAATATAACCAATCAGCTTTAATATACCTAAGTTGAAATTATTGGATATATCTCGTGTGCCAACAAATTCTCATATTGAAAGTTGATAAAAAAACCTGCTTATAAACTATAAGGAAAGTTTTAATGGTGTGAGACTTATTGAGAAGATTGTAGTTGAGTCATGATAACAGTATCAACCATGAAGGAAGCTACATGTCTTAAAGGGTGGTCAAAGACGAAAAGATTTTAGTACTAGTATATAACATATATTGAATACTTTTTGTTCAAAAATTTTTTCTTTTCACTTTTTTCGAAAATGCCTGACTTTGCCACTGATATCAGCATGTTAAAAGTATCTTTCGGCTAACTTAGCCGAACAAAGATGATAGTAATTGTTTGTAAATGGGAAAAAAGAAGATGATGAATGAAGTTATGGTACGTACCACTCAAGGAAGAAAGAGCTTTCTTGACTTTAAGTTCACAGCCATCACAATCCATTCTGACTTTGAGCTCCACTGTATTAAACTGCTTCTTCTTCTTTCTGGGCTTATCACTGCTCATGATATCAGAAATATACTCCAAAGTTCCTCCTAAACCCATTTTTCTTTATGCAAATTAAATATCTAAGAAACACAGCTTTAATTTAGAGGAAGAAAGTGAAAACCAGAGACTTTGAACCTTTTCTAAGGAAAGAAATTAAAGTGGGATAATTATGAGTTAATTTATACTTAAAAGATTTTGCTGAAATGGAAGACTTTGTAAGAAACTTCCCTTGGATTCTTTGCTTAAGGACAAAAGGGAGAAAGGAAAAAGGCTGCTCTCTCTACTAAAACTTTTCTTTTTCGCTTCCTTTGATGAGATGAGATCTTTCTTTACACAGACAGACAGGCCTACTTCTTTTTATAGGCGTTTACGTTTAAAAAGAGAGAAGGATGCATGGCCCCCCATTAGACAACACAAAATTAATAGTACTATGAGCTTGGTTTTAATAAGGAGTTTAGTACTTGACCTCAATCACTAAACAATACTCTTTCCTTTTGTAACATAAGATATTCAGGAGCGAAGAAAATATTAAATATTGTAATTAGCTATTAAGACATGAACGGTAATACTTAATGGGGAAGAAACTAAACAATTTGGGGTAAAAGAGAGAAGGTCAAAACTAAAGAGTCACACAGTTAAAAAAAAATTACTCCTTCCGTTCCAATTTATGTGAACCTGATTGATTGGGCACGGAGTTTAAGAAAAAAATGAAGACTTTTAGAATTTGTGGTCCTAAACAAGTCCAAATGGGCCCCAGAGTATTTGTGTGGTTATAAAAGCCTCTCATTAAGGGTAGAGTTGTAAGTTTAAACGAAATTGTTACCAAATTTAGAAATGGATCATTCTTTTTGGAACGGACCAAAAAAGAAATAGGTTCACATAAACTGGAACAGAGGGAGTAGCAGGTAGCCCCTAAAGGGTCGTTTGGATCATAGACAAATTATACATGAATTAGCAATGCAGACATTAATAATATACGAAAATTAATAATGTGATTATCTCTTGTTGGTGTTTGGTTTATTATACTAACATTGAGTATACAAAGTATCATCCAAATTATTTTTTAGTTTTTAAACTAAAAAATAATGAACTTATAATTGTCCTTTTGGTCCATATATAGCTTATATATATGGATTAGTTATTTCTCGTTGATAGTGGGATAAGAAAATATAACACTTGGTGTATACAATATATATATGGATTAATTATCTTACATTTGAAATCACAATCAAACAATATATTAACTCAATACAACAACAACAACAACAACAACAACAACAACAACCCAATAAAATTCTACTAGTGGGGTCTGGGAGAGTAGTGTGTACGCATACCTTACCCTTACCCCGAAAGAGTAGAGAGGCTTTTTCCAAAAAGACCCTTTGCTCAAGAAACAAAAAGACAAAAGGAGACAATATTAGTATCACCACATAAATCATAGGAAAAACAGGAACAACATAAAATCCAGAAGAAAGATGCAAAGCAAAAGCGATAGATAGTAAATAGGTCCTGCACTAAAAAGCGAAATTGTAAGACATACATTGCCACTAGCTATCTTAGACAAAAACCCTACCAGACTACTCTCACAAAGGTACGAAGTAAGGCAAGACTCAACTACCTCCTAACCTACAACCCTAATACTCGACCTCCACATCTTCCGATTAACTCAATACAAATTCTTATATAATGATTAATTGCCTTATACAGCATCACAAACGACCCCTAAGAGTGTGACTATATCAATAGTGTGTGTGTGGTTTTTTCTTTTTTATTTTTTTGTATCAAGAGTTAATACGAAGGAAACTACTGTATGAGAGACTTGTTAATTTGAAAAAATAGACCTTGGATGGAAGGTGCAAGAGTGTGGGCCACGTTAAAGAAAGAAAACCACCAATAATAGAGAGAGTAGCTTCTACGTGTTTCGACGAATATGCAGCCTTAACACGTGTCCATATCATAGCTATTTCTGTTTTTTTGGTTTCTCACCCGATGTCCGGTACCCGCATTGGAGCCCGATTATATCCGGATTCGCGCCGCGTAGGGCCCCTTTTGGGGGGAAGCGCTCCCTACTAAGGATTTTTTCATATCCAGGGCTCAAACTCGAGACCTCTGATTAAGGAAGGAGCAGTCTCATCCACTGCACCACATCCTTTGGTGGTGCTATTTCTGTTGAATACAACCGTCAATATATGGGAAGACTAGAAGAGGGATCTGGTTTCAATTTTTTGTTTTTGATTGAAATAAAGGAGTTGATTTTGACGTGGGTGAGTTGTATTTGTGCTTTTATTTTGGGAGCCTAATGGCGCGTTTTCTATGCTTAAAGAAATTACTTTACCAAAGACGCTTGAAGCGCATCGGGTATTTTTCTAAAAAAGGCAAGATTAGATAGGAAATTTAAGGGGGGGAAAATTTGGTACAAAACAAATATTAATAATTTATGTGATTATAAATTATTCTTTAATGACAAATAAATCAAAAAGAAATATTCTTTTTAAATATAAAAATACAATATTTTTTTAAACAAACTAAAAAAGAAATAGTGTCACAAAAATTGAAACAAATTGAGTAATTTGAAATCGTATCACGAGTTTAGGTTCCAATATCCAAGATATTTGTATAAGCCTAATGTTTATTCCACTTTGTTTTAATCTCAGAAGAGTGAGTGGGCACACTTTTTGCTACCTTCGAATAATGTTAATCAGATAAGTAGCATGTTTCGCCAAATTTCTTTTTGCCAGAAGTATTTTTATTTTAGGCAAATATATTTTTTTCTCAAAATTAAGGTCTTTAGCCAAACTTTTAGAAGGAATTGAGTAGAAGCTGAAACAATTTTTGAAAAACAGAAAAAAGTAATTTTTCCCTAAAGTACTTTTGAGAAAAATATACTTTAAAAATATTTTTTAAAAATTTGATCAAACATTAATTGCTGCTCAAAAAATATTATTCAAATTAATTAACCAAACACAAAATGCTACTCGCCAGTTGCCAAAGTACTTTAAATTATCTTCCATTCAAGAATTCAATCTTCTGCTAAGACAGTAATGTAGAAAACTATGAGACATGTTTTGCTGCAAGTTATAGCTGGAAGAAAGCTGCCTTCTTCCAAAAGTAGAGTTAGATCTAGTGGCGGAGCCAGGATTCTTATTAAGGGGGAGCTAAAATATACAGAAATAAACCCACCAAAAAATCAAGGGGTGTCAATATATAGTAATATATATATATATATATATATATACATATTCCTTTAAAAATTACCTAACTACACTATAATTTTCCGACGAAGAGTTGTCAACCGACACCCCTTCAGTGCATGTGGCTCCGCCACTGGTTAGATCAACAATCCTAATTATTCATAACTTGAAGCTTCTCAGTTCCCTCCTCGTACTTAAATTAATCCAATACTTGGTTTCTCACAATGAAATTTTTCTTAATAAATTCTTTATCAATTTTCTCTTTTCATTTTCGTTAGTGTGTTAAATATTTTGATTGAAAAAGACAGTAGGGTTCTAGGGTTACATGCATTGTCTCCTAACAAACATTTAGCTGGAAATCTCCATACAGGGTTCTGTTGACCACAACATCCTCTTTGACCGTATTAATATAATTTCAAATTTTTGTAGTATGTTTTTTTTTTAATTTTTTTCTGGTTCTGAGAAGTCTCCTTAAAATTTGCAAAGAAGTACAATTGTGAGTACTTGTAATTATCTCTTAAATAATTTTGGGCGAAAAATATTTTTTCACGGTAAGAATATAAATGTTAAACTATTGTGATAAAGATTTACTTTTCTTGATATAAATGTATAGAGTATTTTAAGAGAAGTTGACAATTATAAAACACACCGTTTAATTTGTTTGGTTGTCGATTTGTGTAATTATCTTTTAACAAGGACCATTAATCAACTTACATATAAGACAACCAATATATGATTATTATAGTGGTTAAATCCAAAGTAGTCATATATTATATTAAACTCATCTTTATCAACTTTCCTGTAATATGAATAGTTTATGAATATTTGTTTCATGACGTACGTTCCACTGATGGAAAGACCTGCATTAAAACTGATTTTTATTATTAAATACCTTAATATGTTTAACCATCAAACTGTTGAGACGTAAATCCTTTTCTGAAAATGAGAAAAGTCAATTAGGCAACTCCTCAAAAATATCATCTTCAACCACTTTTTTAAGGAGCCCATTGGAAATTGATTGACAATGATTTTCAATATTTTAAAAACAAGTTGTGCTTTAATTGGATAAATTACACTTATCTTCCTTGGTTTGTCAATAATTACAAAGAGCTCACTTGTAATTCCAAGATTTCACAGTTGCATAAAGCACCAAAAATATTTGCACATATTATAAACCTTAATATTTTCCTTCTGATCTTTGAATATTTTATCTCCTAATCTTGCTTTAGTTACTAATAGGATTTATTCATAAGACGCGACAGTATACCTTTTACTACAGAAGTAAACAATTGAACTCATGACGCTACGTTGTGAGATGGATAAATGGATTCCTATCTCTTTATGGGCTACATGCCCTTCTTGTACCCCTTTCAACAAGGGTTAACGTGGTCCCTTACTCGTTTGGCACGAGGGATAAAGGATAACAATTCCTGGATCAAATTTAAGATAATTAAGTTTATCCCATATTTGGTTGGGATAAAATCGCGGTATAGTTAATTCCGAGATTAGTTATTCCGGGATTGTAATGTTATTTTTATCCCTATGGGAAGGTGGAATAGTAATTTCGGAATAACTAATCCCGGGATAATTAATCCTAGGATAACTTATTTTCCAACCAAACGATCAATTTTATTCCAAGCGTTAGGATATGATAGGATAGGATATGAATACTTCGATTTGGCTTTTCAATTTTCGAATTTAAGAAAATTCAATCTATATCCAATTCAACTAAGGTCGGATTAATTTGATTTTTTTAAAGTTCGATTACAGGATAAATCGGTTTGGTTATTTTCTATTTTCAATTTTAAGTGTCCTTCTAAGTGATTTAGGAAATTTCAATACAATAGGAATTTGTTAGCCACTGAAACGATAGTTCAGCTATCTTCTTCGACACCATATCTCAAGTTGCATGGCAAAAAGTAATGATCAAATTAATGCGAATATGCAATGAGGCAGTGGCAGTATGGTGGTTCATATCAGTAGAAACTAGAAAAGAAGATGCGATGTACTTAGTCTCAAACCATATTCTTCTTTTAAGTGAAGTGCATTTTTGGTTTATAGACTTGCACTGGACTAATGTACAAAGTGGTAAGCCTGGTAGGGCTAGCTAGGTGAACAAACTATATATAACGACATATAATTATAATTATAACGTATAAAAAAAATCGAATTTTCAATATAAAGTGTCTCAAATTATTTACTCCGAAATTC